GTGTCCAGGATGGCACCAACGCTGATTAACCAGCACTGTAATACCACCTCCCTTCAGCTTCCCGCTGAGCTGTTTATTTCGGTCTGCACGGACTGTCTTGAAGCCAGGTACAGACGCATTGCAGTCCGGGATGTGTTCATGTAGCCATGTCTCAGTGAAACACATAATACTGCACTCTCTGTACTCTTTTTGAGACCTTGTTAGCATTTCAAGCTCGTCCATCTTGTTAGCTAGCGATCTTACGTTACCCATCACAACAGTTGGAAGAAACGGTTTAAATCTCCACCGTTTTTCTCTCTGCCTTACCCCTGCTCTGCAACCTCTTCTTTTCCTCTTTTGCTCCACTGGGATTTGATGGATTATTTCGCTGAAAATTTTGATTTGGGAGAGTTTTAACAGTTGATCACGGTTGTAGATAATTTTTCCGTTGCCATGGACACTCATCATAACAACTTGTGAAAAAGGCTAAATATATGTAGAAAAATCTCCTGAGTTGCAGAGATTTGAACTCAGCATAAAAAAATCATACAAGAAAAACCTAACCCGACAGGTAATGTCAGTAAAAAGACAACAATATATAAAAAAAAACCTCAAGAGCAAAGGGAGCTGTTACAAGTTGCTGCCACCTAGCGGCGCATTCCAGAACATTCATGAACAGATGGACTCTACATGCCTGGTTCCCACCATGAAGCATGGAGGAGGAGGAGTGATGGTGTGCGGGTGCTTTGCTGGTGACACTGTTTGGGATTTATTCAAAATTGAAGGCATACTGAACCAGCATGGCTACCACAGCATCTTGCAGCGGCATGGTATTCCATCCGATTTGCGTTTAGTTGGACCATCATTTATTTTTCAACAGGACAATGACCCCAAACACACCTCCAGGCTGTGTAAGGGCTATTTGACCAAGAAGGAGAGTGATGGGGTGCTGCGCCAGATGACCTGGCCTCCACAGTCACCGGACCAGAACCCAATTGAGATGGTTTGGGGTTAGCTGGACCGCAGAGTGAAGGCAAAAGGGCCAACAAGTGCTAAGTATCTCTGGGAACTCCTTCAAGACTGTTGGAAGACCATTTCAGGTGACTACCTCTTGAAGCTCATCAAGAGAATGCCAAGAGTGTACGAAGCAGTAAAAGGTGGCTACTTTGAAGAACCTAGAATATAAGACATATTTTCAGTTGTTTCACACTTTTTTGTTAAGTATATAATTCCACATGTGTTAATTCATAGTTTTGATGCCTTCAGTGTGAATCTACAACTTTCATAGTCATGAAAATAAAGAAAACTCCTTGAATGAGAAGGTGTGTCCAAACTTTTGGTCTGTACTGTATGGTTCTTAAATGTATACTACTAAAATGCACTCATTTTCAATGGGCATATCTGAGGTTGAAACAGGTAGCCTAGTGCATCCCAAACATTAACATTAACATTTCCAACATTAACATTTTTATATGCCATTATAGTCATGATGGCCTTTAGAAAAATATTTTTTTGGTCGTGCACTATAGGCCCATAAGCTTTTGTCCTTAATGGCATTTTTTCCCCCCTTAAATTACTTTTACGTTTATACTTAAAGTAGTTTTGAAACCCGTGCTTTTACACTTTTACTTGTGTAAAAAGCATGAGTTGATACTTCAACTTCTACAGAAGTCCTTTTAAACCTTAGTGTCTATACTTCTACCTAAGTAATGCATGTGAATACCTTTGACACCTCTGATCCCCGTCCCCAGTCATTCTGTCCGGTCGTCATACCCTACATACTCATTCTGTGTTAATTCCTTGTGAAATAAACTTGTTTGTACATTCATCTGATCTGCTGTGTTTTCTGTCTGTGCTTGGGTCTCTGCTTTTCTGTGACATCCTCGTTTGGCCAGTTTCAAAAGAGCAACAGAGCCACATACCAAATCCTTTATGTACATTGTACGGTCAAACTGCTAAAATGATCTAACTGACATGGTCCTCCTTCTGGTGGCTGAGCCAGTAGATCTTTTCCACAACCGTTTTGGCTTGTCACTAACTGGCAATGGACAGGTTGATTTGATCATGTTAAGCAGCTGCATTCCATTCAGATAAACTAGCTGTTTGGTGCTGGAATTGTGTACACTTCATTTAGTTGAGCCATGGTTTACAACATTTGTTTCAACTGTGCTCTAGTTTTTGAGGCAGGTCGAAATTGCAATGCCCTATACTGACGTTTGACTGTAAAGAACAAAAGAGGAAGTAGCACTGGTACATTACTTCCAATTCTCATGGAAGTTGAAGTGGAGGATTTAGTGTACAAAGTGTCTGTCTTTGACAGTTTTCATCCTGTGTCCCTGCCACAGTCTGTTTTCTTCTCATTATGACTTATCTTTCTCTGTTTATACAAAAATCTGACTACTCATATACAGTAATTATCATATATCATCATATGGAACATTTTGGAATAAATGTACATAGTTTTTTGGCTTGAAATCTTACGTTTCCTGATGAGGAGATATTTCTGTGATCTGTATAGTAACTGACCACTTTGGCATTTTGTGTTTTAATGTGGATGAATATGCTATATGCATATATATATATATATATATCTTTTATGTGACTGTCTGGGTCTCCCCTTACTGCTTTCTCCCCTGCTGTATGTGCTATGTGGTTGGTCAAAGCAGTGGACATGATGGTGAAACAATCATAAACTGTTCATTATAACTTCACCAGGCAATCGAATAGTGTTCAAAAATACTGAACCTTCTGTAGGAATACTTTTAATAGTTTTTCTGTTACTGTTTTGCAAGACTTTGTTACATTTGTGGTTGAAAGACCAACTTCCTTATACTGTTAAGCAATTGCACTGAATGGGTGTTTGTTGCAGAATTTTTGCCCAGCTCAGCTACAAATCAGACACGTTTCCTTCCTCTACTTCAGTCAGTGTCGCATGTGAGCTTATTTGTGAGGAGGTTCTGTTGCAATCAGGGAACAAATTGTGTTTTGCCAACATCATGAACTGTGAGTGTTATAAGACCTCCCGAAGTACAAAGCGAAGGTGACTCTGAATACTGGACAGCATGGAAACATCAGTGGGAAGGACGACAGGTCGGGTCTCGTACACCCAGAGTAACCCACTGTTTGACATGTCAGGCGGCAGCAGCGATCTGTGCAGCATCCAGTCTGACCGTGAGTACTGAGGAGGAAAGTATTAAAACAAATGAATCAGATTCTGAAAACATGGCGACAAATTCACTGGATTTGATTTCAAATCGCTGTATTGACATAAGACACCATTGGCTTCACAGCATAGTAGCTAATTCTCATAATTTTGTTTTGTATTTTGTTTTGATTGGGCTAATAAATGATGCTGTCGTCTTTGAGCAGTCTGCCAACAAGCTCCTTCATTACTAAAAACAACCAAAACTATTTGAACTCGTAAAATTTGCTAATTTCAAACAAACAAACAAAAGTCATTGTAGAAAGAAAAAAATGACTTTATAAGTTTTAATGAACCACTACAAGAAAGATTCTAACCCTGGATGTTGCAGTTATTTGGCATGAAACTAGATAACCAAGAAAGTCCTTCAAATACTGACACATGATAGTAATTCTTTAAACATGGCAGTGTTTACAAGCTGTTTCTTTTTAAAAACAACATTTTTCTAACATCAATAATATATGTTTTTGAAGCCAGCTCAGTTAAGGAATGAATTTTCCTGTTGAAATAATGCGCACTAGAAAAAACATGAAACACTCTGTTAACTTGTGACATATCTTAATAAGTTTCTTCAGACTACCATAACTAGGAACCATTTTACAATGAAATTACACGAGCCTTGACAACGTGTCATGATGTCATAATTCTACATTATTACAGGAGTACCCAGTACTCACTGGTCTGAACACACCCACCTTTAAACTCAGCCTTATGAGTCTTCTTTTGATCTCAACAACACACCTGTAAAGTTTTGTGTCCGTATCTTCCATGGCTGCAGGGCATTCACATTTACAAAGTCTGTCTCCAGACATCCAAAGAGACCGTGATACGAATATGTGCCAAGGTAGGCCAGTGGGTGCTCTCTTCTTGATAAGACATGGCCTCACCTAGAAACATGATTTATTACATTTTTGTGGGGTCTCTAAAATATTGTCCAATTTTTGTCCAATAGCTGCTTTTGCTATAAATTCCTATTTTTATGTATCTTCACTATCATGGATCATGTTTAACATTGGGATATTATTGCTGTGTGATTCATGCATGAAAGTGAATTATCACTGATTCACTTCAACTATTTACCCATTGACCTTTTTTTTTTTTTTTTTTTTTAAACTTTTGCTTCTGTCACATTTCTGCTGACTGTGGGCTCACTTCTCACTGCAATGTAAAGTCCTGTACCTTTGTGGAAACAGCACAACAATGGCTAGAAGGAGAAACTCAGAAACTTACCTTTAGAAAACTGGAAAAACCTTCAATCAACATGTACATTTTTTTTGCAAGTGCCCGGAGAAAAAAAACCCCCAAAAAACAAAAACAAAAACAAAACGTTGGCTCAACATATGATAGATTTTTCCTACTTACATTTGTACTTTGTTTCCTCTCTGCTTGTACAGCCATTTAATTCAGTGAAAAAGTCCCTACCTTTTGGTGATGTTGTAGGTCATAACTGTGTCAACAGCCTCTCAGTTGCACCAAGGAGCACAGATTATTTATTTATTTTTTGCTTTTTTTAATGCAAATAATTGTTCTCAGTATTGTTTTATTTTTATTTTTATTTTTATTTTATTTTCAAAGAGACATGTAGGATAAAGTGATTTTAATTAAATATGATTTTAAGTCTCAATTTGGATAATTTCACAGACAGAACTATACACTACATACTAGCAGTTCATGGACCGACCAAAAGTTAAAAATGCAATGATTAGACACTACAAGTTACATTTGAAAAACCTGAAAGAAAACAGGCTTCAAAGAAAATACTCCTGTAAGGAGACAGGGCATATCTGGCAATAATTTGTCTCCAAAGGCCACGACCAGAGGGACAGTGAATGACAGACACACAGCACACACATGCAAAGGGTACACGGCAGGGATTTACAGCTGCAGAGGCAGGAGGATCTGCATTCAACCAAAAACAGTAGTAGTGTTAATTTAAGTAATTAACCAGTGAAGTTTCATGTTTGTTTGCTTTGTTTAATGTTTTAAATTTTCATTTCATAACTCATCCATTAGTTGTACTTTTTTTCTTCAAAGACCATACTTTGAAAGAGTCTCCGACTTTGAAAGAGAAACCTCCATTACAGTGGCACTTGCACGAAGATTTCCAGGTTCAAGTTTCTCTGCATTCTGAAGGTTTTTACAGATTGGTTTGTTTATTTATTATTTACAGCCTAATTTATAGTCTTAAGAACTTAATACATTTTATTGGTATAGCGGTTTTCAAAGTACTCAGTGTCACTTTATATAGAGCACAAGAACAACTTAGAGAAAACTTTTTTTTTTTCTGGTAGTTGACAATAATTTCTTATTTATGGAGGGATAAGACAAACTTCTCCTTGTAAAAAATGTTTTGACTCTAACATGTCCACGACTCAAAGAAGAATTTTGAACCTGTCCTACTTTCAGATTTAGGCAATTTAGGTCATCTGCCTCATGTGCATATTTCAAACGTGACTTATATCTTCAGTTTCTGCTTCTTTAACTATGTATAACTTTTTGTAGGAATAGGAACTTATAGTCACAGATTGTAAAAAATAAAATAAAAAATCTAGCTACTTTTTAAAAGTCATGTAAATTGGTAACTTTTTTACTTCACTGTAATGTGGCTGCTACAAGATGTGCCGAGAAATGTGGAGCTGGTTGAAATGTTAACCAATAAGTTGTAATAAATAACAGGTCAATGTAATCTCTTAAACCCTTCACAAGTTTGACCTGAAATATACCCAAGTGGCATTTATTGCATTCGTGGTAGAATGGTGTAACATCACAAAGCTATGTGGGCCAGTCTGCAGCAATGACTGTTGGCCTTGTCAGAATGGTGTTGTTGCTATGTTAGTATGGTAAAAAAGATGCAATAACCAGACAAGTACTGGCTGTTATTTGGATGTAGTTAAGTTTAATTTTCATTCTCCACTGCTAAACCTAGAAGTGACTTAAATGGCAGCCAAACCAGCAGGTGGTAGCAATGCTTCATCTTTCCTGTCAGAGGGTACAGTAAGTTTTCTAGGGTACAGTAAGGAGAGTCTAATTTTACTCCCTAGCAGGAACAAACAGCAGCTACCTGGATGGTTGGTTGGATTTTTTTTAAAAAAGCATTCAGTTAGTCATATAGGATGCTTTAAGTATGCTCGACTATCTAGATAAACTTGCCAAATATTGGTATAGAAGCAGCCCTTACACACTCAAGATTTCTTCCAAAATGTTCTAGTTTTTCATTTCACTGGGGATTTGTTTAGACATTGTAAAACTAAAAACCACAGAAGAATTGTACAGACAGAACATATTATTCCTGTAAACTGACAAAACCTACACATTTTTTTTAGACAGTAGGTAAGGTCTTAGATATCTCTGCTTTTTAGACTTTTCAAAAAAAGTCAAGACATCAGTGGCACCACCCCACTTTTTAAATAAGTTTTTTGTCATTGACAGGTGATATTTTTTACTGGTTGACCAAATATTTAATGTAATGAGCTTATTCAGAAACGTATTTCCATCAACTTGGATGAATAAAGTTACTTTCTGAATGACATTCTCAAGATCTGCAGGCGAGTGATCCCTTCTCTGGCATTTTAAATGCACTTTCCTGTTTGTGTTTCAGATCTGACGCCAGCGAAGCCCAGAAGAAAATGGTGTTTGAAGGTGATAGTTGTTTATCTCATCCTGCAGACGGCCCTTAATGTCTTTCTCCTTTATAAAGGTAACAGTGCTACATCTAGTTTTAATAATATCACAGATAATGACGTAATAATATGATATATAATGAGAATTAAGGTCATTTTTATTTTGTTTTTTTTTTCCCCACAAAAAAACATTCCATCAATGGTTGTTGTCATTGCTGTACATATGAAGTAAATGAATTTACTAATGAAACGTGTTGTTTTTCCTTTTCTGCCCTGGTCCCAGTTTTCACATTGGAGTCTTCACTGTCTAGCCCCAAATCCGAGAAGTTCATGTTCAGTCGCCTTTCTCTGGGTGATGACATCCTCCAGACTCTTCACAACAATAGTCAAGAAACCCACACCCTGAGTGGTGACTTATTGGCCTTGCAGAACCAGGTCAAGCAGCTGCTTCTAAGTATTGTTTCATTTAACACACTGTACAGAACTAAAATGAATCAAATTTATATTCATGATTAAAGGCAACGCTTTGTGTTACTTTGTCTCTGAGCACACCTTGTGTACATGTTGGTAGCTGTCTGTTTTGGCCAGTTGTGTTCAGTGCTAACTAGCAAGTGTTCTGCATGCCAATAAACTAATATTCTATAGTGAGCAATAGTAAATAGTATACCTGTTAAGCATTAGGATGTTAGCATTCCCATTGTTAGCACTGGTAGTCCTCACAGAGCCACCAGCACGGCTGTGGAACCGCTTGAATTATGGAAGCCTGGGGAAACATAACTATGTCTAGTCTTTATGCTAAGCTAGGATAATCACAACCTCTTCTAGCTATACACAGTGACTGATATCGATCCTCTAATCTCACTCTTAAAAAAGCAACAAGAATATTTTCTGAAGATGTGATGGACTCTTTTGTCAGAATGAGAATAAAATCCCTTTCAATTTTTTATTTTTTTTTTGTCTGTGTGTCACCAAAGCCAGGGCTCCTTCTGTAGTCAGAGGTGTACCCTTTGACTTACATGATTTCACTCACACAGATAAAGATGTTGGAGAAAAGTTTTACATTCTGTAGAAGATTTACCAGCAATTAATAATTAGAAAAATGTTTTGACAAGGACCTTACATAACTTCTAGTGTATATGAGGCCTGTTTTCCTGATGCTACACGGACAAAACTTTACTGAATGCAGGCTTCAATACATAAGACTGAAATGTCGTGTAACAGTAAGGGATCCACCTTAGAAATGTCAGTTACAAGGCAATATCAATTAACAGTTGAAAACATTAACTATCAGTTAGTCACACTGGATCACCTGAGGCTGCAGAAGCAAACCACCTGAGTAGAATGCAGCAGTCATGTCTTGTATTTTACATTTACTTATTTATTCATTGAAAAAATGAAAATGTTCTTTTATTATAGCAATGGTTTACTGGGTTGTTTAATGTTCAGTATAGTCATGTTTGTGTTGGTTTCCATGACAACAGGTCAGAAGCCTGTGTGGAGAGAAGGGTGAGCTGTTCAGGCTGAGGGCTGACCTGAGCCGGCTCAACACAAGCAACAACAACTTGGAGGGCAAACTGATGACCATCAGCCTCAAACCAGGCATGTGCAAGTTTAAATCAGCAAATTAGCACAATTTACAACATAAACCAATTGATCTATTGGTTTAAATGAACTGATTCAGGGTTTGGCCACCCTGGACAGGGTTTATCAGTTTTATAGCAATTCATTTGAGTGTGTATGTGTCCTCAGGACTTCCAGGTCCTCCAGGTACAAATGGGTCACGTGGATATCCAGGTGTGCCAGGAGTGAAAGGTAAGTCAAACTGGAAGCAGCTATAATCATTATTTTTAAAAGAAGAATGTATCAAATTACAATGGAAAAATAGTATGACAATATGAAATGTGACATTCAGCTGTACAGAGCCTATCCTGCTACAACTTTATTTGCCCTCACTGCTCCCATGCTGGGATTTCAACCACAGCAGGCAGCTCTTCTGGTCTACAAAAGCGCCTGTGCACTATCAGTGGACAATTTGTGTTTTCACATTGTCTTATTGTCATTACCAGCAACAGCTAATAGACAATCCAATCACCTCTGTGCTCTGACATCACTCATTTTAAGTGTCAATAAAACTGATTTAATAGACCAGCTGCTGTCATAACCAAATAAAAAGATCTGATATAAAAATGGTCAGAGAGACAACTAAACCCTAACTACTGCAGTCTTAGAGCCTCACTCCAACATCTGCTGTGGAAACAACACCAGAAAAAAAGTTTCTTTATTCAAAAAGTTCATTTCATTACCAGTGATTTAGTCAAGGCATGTCAGTGTGCACCAGAATGCATTAGCTTTCAGCTGCTGATCTGCTGATGATCCTGGCATTGTCAGGATGCCTGTCAGTCGGCTGATGAGTACCAGCTGATGGATGGGCTGCAGCCATTATTTCGCATACCCTCGCAATGCAGTGGACTGACATATCCTGTATAAAATCTTTATTAGGGATGGAATTTTACTCAAGCCAACAAATTACCTGAGTATGAAGCAGAGATTTTCCAATAGGTCAATTTCTACCTGCCCCCACATTCCCTACAAAAAAAGAAGAAAAAAAGTCCTTGATAAAACTTATAAGTGACATTTAGTAAACTTTGTATGTACGTGTTCTGTTTGGTTTTCATACCCATTTTGCTCATCGTTTGAGTATGTTTGACCGAGCATAGGAACAAACGGCTGTGACTAAAGACAGATACCTGTCAGTAAAATAAATGGCACAGGAATACTGATCATGTTGCTAAACCCCCATCAAACTATTTGCATAACATCTGAAAACAATTAATGAAATGCATAATTTTGGTAAAGTCTGTCAAAAATAACAGTAAATAACAGAAAAGAGAACCAATGAAAGTAATGAAATAAGTGAGGCACTACTAATCTGGAGTTATTTTTAAGGTCCCATACTGTGCCTATTTTCAGCAAATTAATGAAGTCTGTTTTAAATTCCAGGCTAAAATACTTCGTCAAAATTTTGCTGGCTTGATTGACAGTTGGCAGTGACCATACAGATGAAGCGAGCAGAAGGTGGTAAATGTGGGCGGGCAGAGAGGGCCTGCCTCTCAATCCGTCTGACCAATCGCTGCTCCTATGGCTCCGCCCCCCTCCGACGATTTTTTGCGTCACTGGCTCCAAAAATCCAAGATGTCAACCAGGAAGTAGCAAAACCCTGGCTTCATTTTCTCAGTGCAGAAAACAACGGGTGACGTCACGGTAGCTACGTCCATCTTTTATACAGTCTATGATCCTCACATGTGATTGGCCACAAGGCTGCCATGCTGCCTAACAAAACAAAGTTCTGCCATGAGCTGAGCCGAGCCACTGAGCAGCGAAAAAAAAAAAAGTCTGGAGCTGGTTCTCACTAGATGGGAGTTGGCTCTTCTGATTCATATCCCTCATGTGCTGTGCTTGTCGCTCAGACATTTTAGAGTTTAGCAGAAGCAGCTCTAGAAAGTAAACAAACCTGGTGGACTGTGAAGCAGCTGCTCATTTAGAATGGGTCATCGTACAGGAACTTTGAAGGTACCTGCACTTGAGACATCCACAAGTGTTATGATCATTGAGTCTGTTTGTAGTTTAGTTCCTGCTTTATTTTCCTCATATGTCTGTAGTAGTTTGATTTTCTCCCTTTGTGTGTTTTCCCTCCGTTTAATTGTCTGTCCTGCCCTCACTGGTTTACCCTTCATCTTATCACCCAGTCAACATCACATGTATTGTCTTTTTTCCCCTATTTTACTTGCTGATCTTTGTGCCTGCCTTGATACTTCCATGTGTTGATCTGATTTGTGCTTCAATTAGTTTTTGAGCTACTTGTTTTATATGTGTCTTCTATTTGTTCCCCATGCTTTTGTTGTTCTGAATTTTTGGTAAACCTTTACCTGCTCCCTGTTTTTGATTTCCGTCTTAGACATAATACGACACAATAACTGGTCAAACCTGCATGGTAAAACTGTGGACTTGGTTAGTGACTCCAAAATGTGCCTGTTCTGCATGACTCTGTGATAGAGCGCTGAGCAGCAGGGCTTGCAGTCCATCACATACATGTATGCCTCTTCACAGGTGCCAAAGGAGATGCTGGCCATCCGGGACCACAAGGTGAAATGGGACTCAAAGGCGACCCAGGAGCTGCTGGTGAAAGAGGTGAGTTTCAATATGATAATCAATGTTAACCAAAACTAATTGTGCCCTTAAAAATTTGTTTGCTTTAGGCAAAGAATGGTAGCCAACATGTCTAATATTACTAAGATTTGTAACGGTGATGTATAGTTAATGCTTTTCAAATTGCAATTTTTTACACAACTCGTTACCAATAAATAAATAACTCCCAAGACTGGTCATAAACTTTGCCATCATTAGATCAATATTTCTGTTTAACAAATACTTTGATTTATCACCAAGTACCTCCCAACAGCCTCAGCTCCAGATGGCTAACAATACACCTGCTAAACATGTATCAACACACACAAAGACCCATTGTCTTATATTTAAGATTATATTTTTGAAGTATAAATATCTTACAAGACAATTTTGAAAAGTTATATGAGATCCAGGACAGTGCTGAAGTGGAGCAGGTGTGTTAAAGCAAAAAAATAAATAAATCCTGAAAATATGTTCATCACACTGTGTTTGTAATGTTCTGCATGATTCCTGAACTGAATACCATTTAAAGAAACAAAACCATGAACTTCCCTGGTTTCACATCATAATGCAGATTCAGTGAGACTGGAGCATGAACTGATTTAGCTTCTGGATGGTAAATGTAT